GGTAGCTGAGTTTACAACCCGGATATCCGATTATCCGCAGATAACCCGGGTAATATTCAACCCGGGTATCATCACTATCCGGATATCAATAGTAAAACGGATATCCGAATAAATTCAGATCTGGATATCCGACAGATAAATGGATAAACGGATAATGGATCGGAACTCTAGTAAATTTGAAATAAATAAATTCGCGCAGTCTTGATTGGTATAACCCTTTTTTTTTTTAGGAAAAGAAAAATATATTATATATATATATTCAAGAATAGAATTTCTATATAGAAACTGCTTTCTAACATGGCTCTTGTAAAAGATGCTTTCACTAAAGTCATAAGCAATATTGAACATTTAGGTGAAAAAGATTGGCATAATTGGGCTGAAAATCAGAAATGTAGTCCTGATGAAATCTTTCGACCTGTTAATTTACATGATTTAATAACCATTGTAAAAAAAGCAAAAGAGAATAAAAAGAAAATTCGTTGTGCTGCTGCTGGTCATAGTTGGAGTAGTCTTAGTGTTACTAATGGATATTTGGTAATAGTTACTAATTTGAATGATATTGAAATTCAATATAATGAAAAATTGAAAACTTGGACAGTCACCACCGAAGCAGGTAAAGAAAAAACATTTTTAAGGATTAACAAATACACGGTTCTGCTTTTTAATATTTCAAGTTATCTGATTGAATTTATAGGTGTATATCTTAAAGATCTCAATGACAAGTTAAGGAAACATAATCCTCCATTAGCATTTGATTCTTCGACTGTATTGACCACCGTGACAACCTCCGGCGTTGTATCAACTGGTTCTCATGGCATGAAGGTTGGCACTTCAAATTTGTCGGAAAAAGTAATCTCTTTTCAAATTGTGACATCCGATGGTAAACTTCATGAGTTTTCTGATGAGATAGATCCTGTTGAAATGAGTGCTGCTAGAATCAGTCTTGGTAATTTTTTTATTTTAAAAAAAGCATCCAAAATTATGTCTTTACCATATCCGATTTTTAAATAATGATTCAATATTTAAAGGTCTCTTGGGAATTATATATAAGCTCACTTTTAAAGTCGAACCAATGTTTAATATGATAGAAAAAGATAGTTTTCCAAACCTTTCTGATTATTGGAAAGCAAAAAACCTCAAAAATGACGTATTGACTTGTGATAGTATTGAAATTTTATATTGGCCATTCAATACAGCTGGTCTTAAAGAAAAAAATGATAAGCTTTGGGTAAAAACTTACAAAAGAACCGATAAGAAAGTTACGGAGAGTCAACTTGAAGTGAAAGCAGCATCAGCCTTCCAAAGCTTTGGACTCAAATTTGGAGAACATCTTTATGAATACATGGCTAAAAATCCGGAATGTACCCCATTCATGACTAACCTTCTTTTTAATATTGGTGTTAATCATGAACGTGAAAGGATTCTACAAGCACCTGATGCGATTCATTATCAGGTGAGTTTTTTAAATTTTAATTTAAAATATTTTTAAACAGTATTTAATTTTCTTGAATTTTCATAGTCTGGTATCGACTACCTTCTTTGTATGGAACAAGAGATTAGCTTCAAGGTCAACCATGTAAGTACAGAAATAGATGTTTAGAGAGTGGAATAAATTATCACTGAGTGTCGGTCATGTAAAAAGTTAAATTTGATGCATGTACCTTGAAAATCTCAGAATGGATTAACTACCTAGCAATTTAACGTTCGAAAAATTCAGATTAATGCATGAAATACATTAATTCCAATCTCTAAATACAATTATGTGTCTATACAATATCATATATTAACTGCATCCATCAAACTAACAATTATACTATACAAATAAGGATTTTTCAAATTGCATCGAAGAAGTAAATCATATTATTAAACGGGTAAAGTTTATAAACCATTATGTGATGTAATTTCATATCCATATATAAAACAATTCCTAATTCTTCTTTTTGCCTTCTAAGGTTTATGAATTGGCTGCAATTAATAAGTATCCGTTAAACATCACAGTAGAATTTCGAATCAATAAGGCGTCCCAATGTCTGCTTGCTCCGACATATGATAAAGACCCAAATGCTAATTATTGCTCAATAACAGTCTTATCTGTTAATGGTACTAAAGATTATCTTGATTTTTCAATTGAATTAGCCGAAAGATGGATGAAGAAATATAATGCTCTACCCCATTGGGGTAAACTTTGGGAACACATACCTGGTATTATTCCGCATATACGTAATACTATTGGAAAACGTCTAAATGAGTTTGAAAAAGTTAGAGCAAAGTATGATCCTGATAAATGTTTCTTTGATAATGAGTCTTTGAGACAAATTTTTAGCAATTAGTTGTAACCAAAGAACGAAATCTGTAGTTTAACTTAATTTATAAATGTAAATTATTGCTATTATTATTAAAGAACCATATCATTTTTATGCAGTCAGACCTATTTAAATGTAACCCCTTAAATGCAATACCTCTCTACATAACGTTAATGGTATATTTGGTATACCAATTTTGGACAAACCAACACAAGCCACCTTAACATCGATTTACC